CTCCAGGGGTGGGGGCTGGACACAGGGGATGCCAGGCCGGCCCCTTACCCCCAGCCCGCGTTTACAGACTCGCGCAGTGAATTTCCCCACCTCCCTCCTGAAGCTACGCGCCCCCATCTCGGCCCAGCCCTGCCCGTACGCTTCCCAGCTCCGGTCCCGCCTGTCTGCGGCGAGCGGGCGGGGACTTCTCCTCGGCCCGCCCACGGGCAAGGTCAGCTTGCAGCCCCCTTTTCTCGTAGAGCCGCGGGGGCGCGACTCCTGCAGGAGGAGAGGGACCGACAGGACCCCCTGGATGGGGGTGGTGGCGCGACCATGGGGGCCAAGCCACGCAGACCCACTCCTCCCATCCCCGTGCCCTTCAGCACCCAGACACCCACCTGGAGAGGACGGGGCCCGCCAGAGATGGGTGGGAAAGAAGAGAGGGGCGCCCAGACCCTGTGCACCCCGCGCTCATCCGATGCGGTTCCCTCCGCTTCCAGGTGTAGCGCCCGGGCTCGGTGCCGGAGGCTGGGCGTCTCCAACATGACCCGCCGGAGCCTGTGGGACGTGTCGGAGGCCAGCGTCGAGGACGGAGACATCCGCATCAACGTCGGGGGCTTCAAGAGGCGGCTGCGCTCGCACACGCTGCTGCGCTTCCCGGAGACCCGCCTGGGCCGCCTGCTGCTGTGCCACTCGCGCGAGGCCATCCTCGAGCTCTGCGACGACTACGACGACGTCCAGCGCGAGTTCTACTTCGACCGCAACCCCGAGCTCTTCCCCTACGTGCTGCACTTCTACCACACCGGCCGGCTGCACGTCATGGCCGAGCTGTGCGTCTTCTCCTTCAGCCAGGAGATCGAGTACTGGGGCATCAACGAGTTCTTCATCGACTCCTGCTGCAGCTACAGCTACCACGGCCGCAAAGTGGAGCCCGCGCAGGAGAAGTGGGAGGAGCAGAGCGACCAGGAGAGCACCTCGTCATCCTTCGACGAGATCCTGGCCTTCTACAACGACGCCTCCAAGTTCGAGGGGCAGCCCCTGGGCAGCTTCCGGCGGCGGCTGTGGCTGGCGCTGGACAACCCGGGCTACTCGGTGCTGAGCCGGGTCTTCAGCATCCTGTCCATCCTGGTGGTGTTGGGGTCCATCATCACCATGTGCCTCAACAGCCTGCCGGACTTCCAGATCCCCGACAGTCAGGGCAACCCTGGCGAGGACCCCCGGTTCGAAATCGTGGAGCACTTCGGCATCGCCTGGTTCACGTTTGAGCTGCTGGCCAGGTTCGCGGTGGCCCCTGACTTCCTCAAGTTTTTCAAGAACGCCCTCAACCTTATCGACCTCATGTCCATCGTCCCCTTTTACATCACTCTGGTGGTGAACCTGGTGGTGGAGAGCACGCCTACCTTGGCCAACTTGGGCAGAGTGGCGCAGGTCCTGAGGTTGATGCGGATTTTCCGCATCTTAAAGCTGGCCAGGCACTCCACTGGCCTCCGCTCCCTGGGGGCCACCCTCAAGTACAGCTACAAAGAAGTCGGGCTGCTTTTGCTCTACCTCTCCGTGGGGATTTCCATTTTCTCCGTGGTGGCCTACACCATCGAAAAGGAGGAGAACGAGGGCCTGGCCACCATCCCCGCCTGCTGGTGGTGGGCCACCGTCAGTATGACCACCGTGGGGTATGGGGACGTGGTCCCGGGAACCACGGCAGGGAAGCTGACTGCCTCTGCCTGCATCCTGGCGGGTATCCTCGTGGTGGTACTGCCCATCACCTTGATCTTCAACAAGTTCTCCCACTTTTATCGGCGCCAAAAGCAGCTTGAGAGTGCTATGCGCAGCTGTGACTTTGGAGATGGGATGAAGGAGGTCCCTTCCGTCAATTTAAGGGACTACTATGCCCATAAAGTTAAATCCCTCATGGCGAGCCTGACAAACATGAGCAGGAGCTCGCCAAGCGAATTAAGTTTAAATGATTCCCTACAGTAGCAGGGAGGACTTGTCCTCAAAACCACGTTGTTGAGCTGCCTCTCGGGCCTCTGGCACAGTCCAGGCACCTTGGGGTTATGGCATAAGGAGTATGGCCAGCCCCAGAGGGGAGAGATGCATGGGCATTGCATCCAGGTTGCTTCTACAGTAGTTAGAATCGTTTTTAGAGGGTGGTGTGCCTGGCACCATGCCTTCACGCCTTTCAGTGAAATGACACTCACTGGTGTTGGCATCATGGGCATAACATGCTCGCCTTTCTGCTGGACGAATACCCCCCAGAATGCTAACTTTTCTGTTCACCGTGTTCTCGAGTGCTCGTGGTCTAGTACTGTCTGTGAGGTTTCTGTGCTCTTTTTCTAAGGTTGTTGTGTGAGATCTGTACAAAAAACCCCTACATGTCTGTCCAGTGGAAACACATCTATGGGGTCAGCAAGGATATGACGGGATTTTGCTCATGTCACATGAAAACAAAATCTCCGTTTTTTTTATTCATTGCTTTCAAAACAAAGAGAATGTGAAGTTAAGCACATGCCCAATGCAAGTCTGTGAGTTGTGTTATGAATGATCGTAGCTCTGGGACTTGCATGGGTACCTGGTCACCTTTAGAACACTGTGCATTGATGTTCATCTCTTAAATGTTGCTCTTTAGAGAATGTTACTCTGTTAAACATGTAGTGAAGATAGAAATGTTTTCCCTAGAACAGCTGCTTTAGGGACAGGGGCTTCAACTAAACATAGGCCAGATTGTAGGATGCTTGCAGACTTTTCAAAGGCGGGCCTCTGTCTTTCCTAGGGTGACCGTGCAGGCATTTATTTCTGGCTGAGGTTCCTGGTCTAGCCCATTTGACCAAACTTTGCTGTGTCTTAGATATTAGCATGTTTTTGAAATATTAATTTTTTAAAATGTTTAGAAATAAGGTCGAATTGTCTTTTTCCACTAAAAAGAGGTTTACCGTTGTGTTGTTTCCCTGAGGAACATTGTTGGGTTGCTAGCAAGGCCAGTAGTTTAGAAATCTTGTTGCCTGTTCTGCAAGCTTGTAAAATGAGGGCCCTTTTATTTCCAAGCAGAGTTTACTTAGGTAATTTTGCTTCTAGGATATAGTATGCTACATGCAATGCTGTAATTTCCTTGTTATGACATGGAAATCTGGTGGCATGGAAGTGTGTACTCAAAATACAGAAATGCATGAAAGCTGTGTTGCTTACCCAGGATGGAAATACTACCATTCCTATTTCCATTTCAACTGCCTTTTGTTGGAGGAGGGTGGGTAGAGGACAGAAAAAAGAAAAGAGCTGTAAAACAAAACATTGCTACTCTCGTAAACAATTGTAAATGTCTTGAAAAGCGCAATGCTATTTAAAAGGCCTTTAAACTTCTAAATTTGTGTTGAAGGCTGAGAGCTCTTTCCTTCTCCAAAATGCCTTCCCTCTCCCTCTCCTCCTCCTTCTCTTCCTCCTCCTCCTCCTCCTCTTCCTGTTAATTGGCACATAACATTGTGAAGGGGAACCTGGGCCCCTTTGTAAGATAGTTCTCCATTATCTTCTACATAATCAGATGGTTTTACAGTTGGCTTTCATTATGGTTCAGTCTTTGGAAAGGCTGTAACATCTAGGAGTCTAAGCATGGAGTTAGGCAGGTGTTTTATCCACAGCTTGGACCTTCCCTGAGCAGATCCATGTTGTGTCTTAGTTGAAAGTAATGAATACCTCATGGGAGTGTGATGAGGATCTTGTCAGAAGGTTTTGTGTACTTGTAGTTGCTATGGATACTACGGTCCAGGTGATTTGTTGGATGAATGCACTAGTCACATGTGCCCTTGAGTCCCCATTTCAAATCCTTCCATCAGACAAGCTTCGTGGAGGGTGGGGCGGTGACCATGTCCTGGTGCCTGATGGTCTACCATCTCTATCTGTAACTCAGAAACAGGAAAGGGTGAGATGACTTAGGGGCAATGGGTCACCCAGTTGGAAGAGCAGGTTATTTTTCAGAATCTACACATGGAGTATTTGGCTTGGGCTGATGTTTCCAGCACTGGAAGGCAGAGAATTTACAAAATCAGCCTTAGCTGCACTGAAGGAAATTGATGCTACAAACTTATGAGGACTCTTCAGTTTGCCAAAACGGGTGGTCTCAGGTCACTGAGCGTGGTTGCTATGGTCAATGACCATAAAGTTTGTGAAAAGTAAGAGGCAGAGGAGCTCAGTCGCTCTCATGAGTATTTTTCTAAACAGGCGGGCTTTACCACCACAAAAGAGATACCCATCGTGGTCACTCTTTGCAGATGTGAAAGCTGGAATACTTGACTTTTCATTTTGGTAATGACTTGCATTTATCTGGTGCCTTTCATTAGGGGAATCCCAAAGTGCTTTAGAGACTGTCTTTTTAACCTCTTGTACATAGACATACTTGTATAAAATTTTACTTTGCCCATCCTGGAACTTTAGTCACTCTGAGCATGAGACTGTCCCAATGGCATTGAGTTCTCCAAGTGATGGCTTCAGATAAGAGGGAGAGAGAACAACTCAGCTGGCTTGGACATGAGTTGATTCCCACTAAGGATGGAGACTGAACTGTGAGCCTGGAGTGAATAACCTTCCTCTCCCCTCCGGTACCACCAAGGTGTGAAGGTCCCAGGTGCTCCCAACTGGGCTTTAACGGATCTCGCTAGACAACATCTTACACAGCCATCTTCTGCTCCCCGTAGCTAATCTGGGAGGGTCAGGGTGATTCTCTGCTCTGTTCCTGGAGTTACGAATATGCCTATGAAATGATGTCATTGGCCACCAGGCTGTCAGACTGACCCACAAACCTCCTTTGGGTCCAGAGCAGAAGCTTCCGACCACTTATCCCAGCTACTGGCTTGACAGCAGCTTCCCTCCCAACATTTGGAAGTTGTTCTTTTCAATGCCATTGGGGCGAATGTACACGCCAGGCTTTTCTCACAATGTATGTGATGAGCATTTTGAACGTGCTGTTTGGGAAGTGATACATGTCTTTATTGTGTAGACACATATTCCTTATAGGTTTGTGTTTCTGCCAAACCCCCACATTTCCTGGGTCTGCTACCGAGGAGGGGCATGTTGTAATGCCAAGCCGATTTGTAGCTCCTGGGGTAGTAATTGGTGTTTAATATTTGGATTTGTTATTTCTACTTCTCTTTGTCCCCAAATAATTGAACTACCTGCTAATTCTTGCCTCATTTCAGAGAAAATGATCTGTTACGCACTTTGGGATAGCAGTGATCTGACGGGCTGTGTGTTATCTCCTTCAAGGCTAACTGGTATTTCTTGTATGTTTTAACAGCATGACTTGCCACAGAGCTGTAATTTAAAAATTGAAAACACTGCCTTTGCCATGTTGGTTTGAACACTCATTAACGTACCACTATGCACGCACTGACGCGGCCGCTGCTCCGTCGTATCTGATGACTCACTTCAGGCTCCGTGCCTGGACTCGGTGAGGAGGAACACACACTCGGGACTCCGCCTCTGAGTATGCAGATTAAATAGAAAAAAGTGATTTATGCCTCCGTAAGGCACTTCAGTTACATATGGAGTGGCAAACACAAGGACGTTCAACACAGGGGACTGGCTTCCTGAGAAAAGCTGGGCCTTGTGAGCACTGGTTGGGAAGGAGGAGCTGTTATTCACTCTTTGCAGGCACAGGGAGCTGGGCCCCCATTTTTTGCCAGGATCTAGAGCCACCATGCCGCTTTGTAGAAGGAACGGTCACTTATTCTTAGAGCCTGTGTGAAACGCACCCCCACTGCCTTGCTCTGCACCAGAGAGGGGCCTGCCAGGGACAGCCCCGCCCACCTGGGTGCCATTCCCCCTGCTGCCCTGGTACCTTCCTGACAGTAATTTGGGTACTGGGTAACGTGAGTGTCCTGGCTGGTTTGGTGTGGGTAATGCTGGCGGATACACAGAACCAGCCCTCAGCACCTACTTAACCCACTAGCGACTTAGACTCTGAGCCATTCCAGAGGCCACGGTGAATCTGTGGGAAGATCGCTGGCTAAGTGGCTCTACTCCCGCTCAGGCCTTCAGTTCTGTGACCTTAGGGTATCACTTGGCCTCTCGGAGCCTTATATCCCATTGCTGCCAAATGAGAAGCTTGGATGAGCTCATCCTTAAAGCCCCACCCAGTTCACATCTCCGTGTAAAACAGAATTTCTGCATGTCTCTACATCCTCATTACAGCAGCGAGCAGATCCCGAATCCACGATGTATCTGTAAGCAGAGCAGAGGGGCTGCTCACACACAACCTGCTGGCTTCCATTTCTCTCTTCAATAGCCAATCACATAGACACCAGTTTCAGGGACAACGATACCAGAGAAAGGCTTGGGCTGGTGCCTGTGCCAGGGGAATAGTTTTAAAACAATCAACGAGTGTCTCCTTTGGGCTTTAGACCATTTATACCTAATCCAAGATCCTGTTATTAAATATTATTAGAGAGGAAAGTCACATTGATCCCATTTGGCTGCAGGACAAGCACTTCATCCATTTGTGTTTGTTCCCTTAGTGAGGACTGGAGGGTCCCCACCCCTGTTCCCAAGAGGTTATTGGGCCCCAACCAGGGCCCCATAAGTGCACGACATCAGCTGGGACTTTCCCAAACTTAATTCTCACTGAGGACTGGCATCTGCAGGTGTCTCCTCTGCGTAATCTGCAGAAGGGCACGGTGACCTGTGTTAACCCTGTCCCCTGGTCTCACGGCAGCTGAGAAAGGGCAGCATGGGGCCTCTGTGCAGCCCAAGGGGGCACACGAGGTTGCCACCAAGTGGGGTCGAGCGCATCTCCTTCCTCCACCGGGTATACATGGATGTTCAGGGATATTTTGGGCCAGGATGCATCTTAAAAGGAAAAACAAACATCTCGTCCCGAGGGAAGAACTTAAACACTGCACTCACGTGGTCATTATCTCCTATTCTTTTTAGGAGGACTTTTGTCTAGCGTCTCTACCCCAGGACCTTATCTGGGTGTCACAGCCAGTTAGTCTGAAAATCTGCACGTTTTCCTCCTTCTGTGACCTCACTTGTCAATATCACCATCTTCCTGGATAAGTTCTCCAAAGCAATGACAGTGTCTGCAGGTGACACGCGATGCTCTTAGAATATAGACGCAAAGCCTCAAAGACAAGGCCAAGGGGAAAGAGGTACAACAAGGAGGAAAGAGGGCAGCTGTGCCCAGAGCTGGTGCGAGCTCCTACAGAAGTTAAAGGGAGAAGGAAGAAGCCAGGAAGGAGAAAAGAGGGCGCAGAAGGACAGCGTGAATAAAAGAAAAGGCAGAGAGCAGTGAAGGGAGGTGAGACAATAATGTCAGGAGAATAAGAGAGAGTATGTTTAGCAAAGTTATTTTAGGTCTTTTGTTGAATTCATTTTATTTTCAGTAACACCCGCCAGAGGCCTCCTGGGAGGTAGCTACTGCTGGAGTCAACTTCCACCCTCTACCTGCCACCCCAAACTCCCTCACCAGCGAAGGACGCACAGTCTGGTAGAACAGATGTACGGAGACTACTAAAAGCCTTTTGGATGAAGAGGGCAGGAAGGACACAAGGAAAGAAAGGGTAAATGCTTCCTCTTGAAGATGAGACTTCTGGGTTATAAACAGAAAGAGGACCAGGTGTTGGCCAGACATGGGTGGTGTTAATTAGGGTTAGGAACAAAGAGATGGAGGGAAGAGAAAGGGAAGACACCTTCATGAACAGGGACCTACACAGGCAAAGACCAGGAGGCCCAGGCAGGCCAGCATCTGTGAGGCACATGTAACGCAGTGTGGCTGAAAAGAAGCAGGGCTCACAGCGTCCGGAGAAAAGCCATGGGCAGGGCTCGGGCTTCTTTCTTCGTCACTGGGTGGAACACCCTGACCACGTTAATGCCTGTGGAACGTGACTCTGGCAGCAGCTTGGAGGCGAAGGGGAGGCCAGCAGACCTATTTGAGGTCATTGCCATAGTGCAGGTTGAATAGAAGGGAGTGGGCTGGAGAGGAAGGGGCAGAGCCAGTTGCCAAGGAGACAGACTCTCCAGGCTTCATCACCAACCAACCAGATGTGGAGATGAGGAAGAGGGAGTCCTGGGATAGGCCTTTGGGTTTCTGACTTAACTGGTGACTGGGGGGATGGGGGGATGGTGGTGCTTCGAAGAGAGGTGGGGAACACTTGGCTTCCCTTCCCGAGACTGAGCAGTGTTGCCTACATGCCTGGGGGACACAGATAGAGGTGTGTGGAGGGCAGAGGGAAGCCTGGTACCAGATCATCAACTGAGCGATGGAGATGAGACCATGAGTGAGGTGGCCCAGGAAGGTACAGAGAGAA